CCTAAACTTTGCTCATATGATTTTTAAAAATAGCAACCGTACTGTGGAGTGATCTTTCTGATATAGCAGCTATTTAAATGTCAAAACTCTTTCCCTTAACAGATAAGATACAGGCCCAAAGCACACTACATGAGGAAGCAACCAGACATCACAGAAGGCATGCGAACGATTCTGGTAGACTGGCTGGTTGAGGTCGGAGAAGAATATAAACTTCGAGCTGAGACTCTCTACCTGGCTGTCAACTTCCTGGACAGGTTTCTTTCATGCATGTCTGTTCTGAGAGGGAAATTGCAGCTCGTAGGAACAGCAGCTATTCTTCTGGCTTCGTAAGTGTTCTTTAGCTTAAATGATATGAAACTACAGCCTGTCAAAACACTCGATTTATTCTTCATTTATTGAAGAAATGCAGTGCTTTATAATTAAAACTTATGCCTTCTTTGATAAAATATCGTCATCTTTACAATATTCACTGAGAAACTGAACCTTACCACATGTTTACTCTTTAGTTCAGATGATTTATAGTGACAAGTTCAGTGTCATGACTAAGGAAGCCATCGGTTCAAATTCAGGATGCTATTTAACTATTTTATGGTATAGTCTTTTGGCTGTATTCTAATACAAGTAAAAGTTTTATTTTAAGAGATTCAAAAGCTATCTTCATGATCTGGCAAATGACCCATAATTACACAGTTTTTATCTGGTTACAGTGAATTAATTATTTTAGCCAGTTCCTGCTACTATCAGTCATTGGTAACTATCTAATTGTGTGGAAAAGAGCTGGGTTGTGGCTGAGCTGCCTTTAACTAAGTGATCTGTGGGTGAGTGATAGTTTCCTTTCTACTCGTCTAGTCTCAGATATTCTAATTATTAATGCCTAAAAACTTACCAAAATTTCTCTATAGAAAGGAGATATGAAAGCAAAAGCAAAGAATTGATTGCAGTGAAATTATATCATTTTCTTTCTCTTGGATATATAGCATTATTTGCTAATTCAATAGAGAAAGCTATACACAATATTTTTAAAAATTTAAGACTTAAGGAATTTTTTTCCTATCATTGTGTTCAACATAGCATTCTTTTTCACAAGATGATTTTAGGTCTACAGAATTAAGAGGAATTTACCTGTATGTCTGTCATTCAGAATCTTTCAGCATATCAGAGGCCAAACCTAAAATTCTCAGTTGGAAATTGTTTCTGTTACTAATCTAGCAGTAAGTACAAAATGTCGTGTAATACTCATTTTCTTGTTCTGGAAACAAGCTCCTAATATTTTTACAGCCCTGTACCATTTAGGGATATTTAAGCCTGCAAAGGCCATGTGAGAGCGTGATTGTGATAGCACAGGAAGGGGAGCGACAGCTTCCAAGTGTTACTTCTGAAGACTTTTTGCCTTTCGTAGGAAATATGAAGAAATATATCCACCTGAAGTAGACGAGTTTGTCTATATAACTGATGATACTTACACAAAACGACAACTGTTAAGAATGGAACACCTGCTCCTGAAAGTCCTAGCTTTCGATCTGACAGTGCCAACTACCAATCAGTTTCTCCTGCAGTACTTAAGGAGGCAAGGAGTGTGCGTCAGAACTGAGAATCTGGCCAAGGTATGCCACATGACTGCCAAGGAAGTTGGTTCCAAGTTGGGTAAAACTTAGCCTTTCCAATCATCCTTCAGTTCTTCCTTCCTTTTTAGTATTTTGTCTTGGGTACAGAAAAACTTTTTAGCAATGGAAGAGATTTATTTTTAAGAACACAACACTTCTGGTTACAAGCCATTACTATTGATCATGTTTGACAGGCATGGGTTGTCTAATCACCCAACTCCCAATTTAAGCTTGGGAGCTGTTCCCTTGTTAGATAAAGACCACATGCAAACAGTACCTCTTAGGTGTACAGAGTGGGGACAAAGTAAATGTGGTTCGATTTAGCTCTAATCACCCCTACCATTTAAGTAATGAAGCATTATTAGGTCATTTGGAGTTATAAAACTTAGTTGAGTGCACTAAGTTGGTTTCCGGCCACTATGATATAATATATACGTCAAGTATTTATGTGCTATGCAAACAGAAATAAAGATGTCTGTAAATATCCCAATATGTTTCTTCTAATCTGAAAAATTCCCACTGGTACTATTCTAGCCTCCGAACTGTGTGCATTTGCCTGATAAATTAATAGCTTTATATGGTCATATTTTGCCTTTGACTGAGGACTGTAGTTTCACTCCAGTGACCAGAGCAAAGTTACTTTACCTGAGCAGCATAAACTTGTACAACTAGTACAAGAAAAGTAACCCATCACATTTGACCAAATACTTGTATGTTGAAATTTATTACAACATAATTGTTATTCTGGTTGTGAACAGGCATAGCAATTATTAACCCAGTGAACAATTTTGAACCTCTGTTTCTATACTCACCACTAGATACAGGTTGAACAAAAATAAGACACAATTCGTTCCCCTGACATTTCTAAGTTTACTTGCAACCTTAGTAAAATTCCTAATTCCAATGAGATTTTCTCTCTTGTTTTTAGTATGTAGCGGAACTGAGTCTGCTTGAGGCTGACCCATTCTTGAAATATCTTCCTTCGTTGATAGCTGCAGCAGCTTATTGCCTGGCAAACTATACTGTAAATAGGCACTTCTGGGTAAGATTCTAATTACTATTTTTCCAGATGAAATTCAAGGCCTATCTAAAATCTGCTCAGTAACTCTCAAGCCTTAGAATGAGTGGGCCTCTCGTGAGTCTTACCGGCAGACTTAATAGGCTGCTGAGTCTTGCAGGTAACCCTCCAAGGCCTTGACTCAATGGCTTTGCTCTGTGGAGAGTAGAGATTGGAGGAAGTCAAGAAAGTGGCATCAGCTTAGCAGTTGTCAGAAGCAGGCCTGGAAACCACAGTGCCTGCCCTCATGTGAGGAGGGCCCTTGTGGTATAAGCACTGACCACTTCAAGCAGAAGTTGTTGACTTTTCTCTTAAAAGTTGTTGACAACCTGTGTCCTATTAGGATGGTCAGAAGTTTGGGTCATGCTTTCAAAGGAGCAGGGCAGTTAATGGTGCCTCTTGGCCCAAGAAGGTAGCGAGATTAGAAATGGGCCCCTAGGCTTGGTTCTGAAGGCTCACTTTTGTGCCAAAAGAAGGAGAGTGTCTGCTTTTATTTTCTAGAACATTTATTTCTTATTCTACATTTGGCCAAGAATCTTTTATAGTATGTGTAAATAGGGTGCTCAGGTTAGTAGAGTCCCTTTAGAGACCAGTAAAAATCCTGCTCACGAGGGAATAGGTAAAGTAACCTGTCCCCAAATGGAGCATTAAGTATACAATATGAGCAAATTTAGAACTCTGGCTGTTCTCTCTAATATTTTATTTCTAAAGTCTCTGAAGAAGGATTATGGTTTCTTTTGAAATGAATGTGGACACTTACTAAGTGATTAATTTTATTTCATGGTTTTATCTTCAGATTTCTGATATCTTAGAAAGTTCTATGATGCAATTTTTTCCTTTTGTCTTGATTAGCCAGAAACCCTTGCTGCATTTACAGGCTATTCATTAAGTGAAATTATACCTTGCCTGAGTGAGCTACATAAAGCGTGCCTTGATATACCCCATCGACCTCAGCAAGCAATTAGGGAGAAGTATAAGGCTTCAAAGTAAGTTCCTGAAGTTTTCTTATCTAGGCTCCCTATTTGAATGTTTAATAGGTTATAGTGTCAGAATTGAAAATAAAAGAAATTGTACATCTGGTGCTAGGCTGGAAAAGTAAGGTTGTATGTTAAATCAAGAAAATCAGTTTGGAGAAGTATGATTTGTATAGATGTATAATTTGTCAACTTGTGGTATATACAGTCAGCTAGCTTCCTTCCATTCTGTTAAAACTGCTAGAAAGTTTCCTGTGGCCTGAGATTTTACGAAGCCGAAGTCTGGCTCGTGCTGAACTTGCTTTGGTCTCATTTCAGGTATCTGCACGTGTCTCTCATGGAACCACCTGCAGCTCTTCCTCTACAATAAGTTTTAGAACTGAAGCATTTTCAGAGCTTAACCTCCAGATCAACAGGATTGATCCTAATTTTTATAGATTTCTGCAGTTTGGATCAACTAGTGTTGCTACAATATAAATGACATATTTTTAAAAATGTAAATGTGTTTAGGTTCTCTTAGATTTAGTAGCTTGTAAAGTAGTTTAACATTTAAAAAAGAATAAACAACTTGCCTGATGACCAAGCATTAGGCTTATTTACTAATTAGTGTGGCTGACACACTGGCCTGGAATTTTATTTGAGAGTATTATAAATGTCATCTCTATTTTAAGAGTTCTTCTAAATTGATTTTATAAGTCTGGCATGCTATTAGGATTAAGTGCTCTGAGGAATGCAGAGCTTTTCATATTTGCTAAATGGCTGCTCTCAGCCTTTTTCTTCCTGTCTCTGGCTTTTTCATGTGATTCTTCCTCAGTTGGCCAAGGAAGGAACTCCAAGCTTAGACAGATTATGGAAGGGATATAAACAAGCACTGTATTCTAGCTTCCTTCTGGGACCTAAGGAGTAAAGACAGTGCGTTGAGGATATGGTCAAATACTTCTAAATATGGTCAAATACTTCTGAGGGGTGACTTATGTTTTATGCTAATCCAGGGGTATGGTGCTCATTTTGTAAAGGGATGCCATTATGTCAATGTTCAGTTTTGATTGAGTCACCCGTTAAGCATGTATTTCAGCCTTAGAACATGCTCAGAGAGGTAGAAAAAACAAATTTCACCATAGGACGGGACTTCAGAATAGCTAAGTGACCCCTCATGTTTGTCCCTGGGGAGATACCCATGCTAAAGTCTGCTCCAGTTCAAATTATTCCTGATCCTGCAGTTTACCTCATTACACATTTTAAATGGCTCCTTTAAACAGTATGTAGGTAGTATACAAGAGTATACAAGATGGGAAAATTTGAAAAAAACAAACGGTCATTTTAACTTTCTTTTAAAGATTGGAAGGAAATCAAGAGTAGGCTTCTTTAAGGGAAGGTGGTTCTTATTGGGAATTGAATATAAATTTTATTAATCACAAGATTAGTAGCTCTGGACCAGGAGGCCCTGGAGGCACCTGAGCCTTAAGTGTGTGTCCTGGCTCCAGGCTTGCCCCAGTGGTTCTGTGGAGACAAGAACTAGAAACATATATTTTCTAGATTCCTTTACATAGAAAAGATTAGACCCAGGCAGGTTTTGATAATGTGGAGATAGATGAAATTAACTCGGAATCTTGTTCGTTTCAAGCTCTAATGAAATTATAAATATAAAAATTCAGCCATATAGTACATATTTTGTGAAGACTTTAAAAAATTTACCCACAAACTCTTAAAAGGTTTTAGCATTGCCTTTCCCTCCCCTCTGCAGATAAACATTCTCAAGGTGGCTCCATTTCTGGTTCCATCAGAGAATCAACATTTCCGAACGAATTTTGTGCTATTGCCTAAATTTCACAAAAGGGATACAGGGCCTGTATCAGTACTGAAGTCTCTGCCTTTATGTTAGATAATCAGCAATTCGTAATCTAATATTCTAATTTATGACTGGGTATGTCTTTCCGACTAAACTTTTGCACTTGGCAATGTAACACACATGCTGTATATTCACCATGAACTTGCTCCATCCCAAGGAGGCAGTGGCAGAGGGCGATTCTGGCTGAGACTTTAGCAGTAGAAGTGCTGCTTTTGTCCTTTTCAGGCCTCAAAGATTTGAGGAGTTGGTCCGGGCAGTGTCCTCTCATTCTCTGTCTGTTTACCCTGACTCAGCACTGCCCTCTGTGGCAGTGTGGACCCCAGCACAGTACATTTTCTTCCACTAATAATAGTCTTGTTTTAGGATGTTTGCTTCAGTTGGAATGGACCTTGTAGAAATAGGAACTTCATTATGAATTATTTTGCAAAGGTGGCTTTTGTTTCTAAACCTAGATTCAAAATTTAGCCTTGACTTTAGGTCACAAAACCACACTATAGTTGTCCCTTAGTATCTGCAGCTGATTGGTTCTAGAACCCATGAGGATATCGAAATCCAAGGATGCTCAAGTCCCTTATAGAAAATGGCTTGGTGTTTTCATTCAACCTGTATTTGCACGTGGGCCACAGCAGGCTCTGCTCACACATCTCTTCATTTGCGTAGATTTGGGGTAGTACACGGCCCATGGCTCTTATCTTCTTTGCTGCCAGTGATTTTCACCTTCCCCTTCCCGCCGGCCGCCCCCCCCGCCCCCCATACACGCTGATTGCAAAGAACTGGTTCTCAGCTTTTGGCTTATTACTTTTTTTTTTTTGTCTCTGCAATACTTTACTTAAAAATAGAAATATAGCTATCACCTGTGTACCTCCCATCCGCTTAAGAGAGAATAGCAGCTTTCAGTGTAACCTTCCTTTTATCTCATTATTTTTCTTCCCTGAATGTGGTGTTGATCATGCATGGTTTTTATACTTTATAAGAATGTGTCCATAAATAATAATGCTTGTTTTTAGAGTTTAATCATTGTCTTTCATATCTTTTAGTGATATGTGTTTTAGATAGCATTGCGTTTTGAGATGATCTCTGTTGAATAAGTAGAATCCTAGTTATTTATACTATTGTGTAGTATAACGTGGCCCATCACATTAAAGCTTTACCTCTCACATCATTCTCCAACGTGTGTTAGGGAAAGGGAGCTTTTGTTTCCATATCCTTCCCTCAGAGTCCCCCACTGAGTTCTTGTTTTCAGCAGGTGAGGAAAGAGAACACGGAGAAAGTACACCATTTTTACTGCAAGGGGCTGGGAAATGTAATTCAGCTGTAAGCTTTGGGAGGCGAGGGGAATTCAGTGTGGATGAGCAATCAGATTCTGATGGTGGGCATCTCAGTGTCCCAAACTTCAGTCTCATTATGATGATGAGTTTGATTGGACCAGCGTTTGTCACTTTGAGTTACTTACACATTTGTGCTATTTCTGTCATGTCAAGATATCTCCTTTAAAATGACTAACTTTTTAAACCTAACCTCTTCTAAGCAGTAATATTCCTGAAATAATGGATATGATATGCTAGTTACATATTTTCTAATACACATTATAATAATATATAACTACCGAGTGTTAATCACTTAAAATTTTGTGCACCATCAGTTATGTGTGTCATTCCTTGGGAAACACCACATTACAATTCTGCGGAAAATCTGTAATGCTTCAAAAATTAAATGCTGACAAGAATTCACTTTTTATGTCATAAATTTGGGCAGGAAGTTTGAAGGTTGGTCATGAACTGCATTCTCTATTGAGAACGATACTATTTTAGGATGACCAGGGACTACAGGAAGGGGCAATATGGATTTAGGCATTTAAAATAATGGGATAACATCAAATTTCAACCTTATTTCTCCTCCCTTTCCTTCCCCCTCAAGCACTGAAAGCAAGAGCCAGAGAAGTGGGAAGATGGCATAGCTGTTTGGAATGGACAATTTAATGTGGCAGTTCTGATTTTAGGGCGAGAGAAGGGCTGGGAAAAGTGCTAAATTTGAGATGATACATCAAACTAGAATTTCTCATAGGAAAAAAAACACACACAACAGGGGTTACTTTCCTGATGCTCAGACCCGTCTCTACCCTCACGCTCCTGCTGTCACCGTCTTCTCTTAGCCGCCCGTCATTTCTCATAAACATCAATCACTGCAGCAACCTCCTGTTCCCTCCTCCCTGTTTCCAGAGTTTTCTGATAGGAATTCGGTGATATCTCATTCCTGCAGTTAATTCTTCAATGTCTCATAACCACTGGGATGAAATAGGGGCCATGCAGGCCCTTCGTTAGGCAGACCCTGCCTGCCCCGAACTAGCAGCAGCTGCCAGGTTACCCATAGTTCCCTGAATCGCCTTGTCCCTCCCTTTATTTTCTCCCACATACTGTTCTTTCTTTGAACAACATTTCCAACTTTCCTATACCACTAGGCTACCCCTTAGGTGATTCTTCAGAGCCACTTTTGGCTTTGCATCACCTGTCAGTCTCAGGGTAAGTGTCCTTCACTGCAATGGGCTGCTGCTTGTCTGTCATCCTTCCCAGAGTTCACATTTCATCCCTGTACTCACAGCACCTGGCTTTACGCTAGAGATTCAATAATATTTTGTTGAATGAACAGATGGATTTTACTTTTTATAGACAATCACTAGCCCCTGATTTAGTCAATTATCAGGTGACATCGCTGGGGAGTTTAAAGCTTTATGAAGCACTTTGAATAAAATGAGGTTAAAAGGAAAAATCACAAAAGTAAGAGCATATGGTGTCGATGTATTGTACAAAGTTCATTCTTGTAATTCTTACATTTATTGTAACATACACTAGAAAGAAAAGTTTCATTAGGATTTGAAACAAAAGACATTTCTTAGATGAGAATTGGGAATAGAATGGCTTTTTGAGAGACAGATCCAGGACTTTTCTGTCTTTGGCCTTTACATATTTCTCCATCTGCCTTCAAGGGAAGATTTTTGCCTTCAAAAGAGCTGTCATTTAATGAGCAACAACAGCTTTATTTAGCATGTGCTCCGATGTATCATAAGTCATTCTTGCTTTTGAAATACATAAATAAAAGCCTTTTTAACTGAATGATGTATTCTTTGATCCCTAAAAAAAAAGTCACTTCATAACGACATAAAGGCCCAAAGCTTTGGCTTTGTGGCAAAATGATAGGGGGACACCTTCATCAAAACCCACTAGAAACAGTGACTAAGGCAAGGTTATTTGTGCTTATGGAGCAGTTACGTAGCAAAGGCCAAAGCAACCAAAGTGAGCTCAGCCTAGGGAGTAAGGGTGGTGAGAACAGGGAAAAGGTGCCGAGAAAGGGACTTTGAACTTGTAGGGAAGAATATTCTAAGGCCCTTCGGCATGGAAGTGACTACTTTCTTCCCTAAATTCGGGGAGCTGGGGAGAGACCTTCTCACCAAAGCAGTATAGAGCTAAGCTTTTAGGTTTCTCAAAGCTTTGCAGAATTCACATCTCCGTATAGATCCTGTATTGTATGGATTGTTATGTTAGTCAATTTAGGCTACACTATGCTGAAATAAGAAATAAGGCCCTAATTCCAGTGGCTTAAAAAAAGTTGGTCAGCTTGCCCGTATACCTTTCTAAAACAGTGATTCAGGGCCCCAAGTGCAGGACAAAGGTGCAGAGAGAGGGACTTACATCTTTGTAGGGCTTACATCTTTCAACTCTGCGAACTTGGAAACCTTTGTTTTCTGATACGTTCATGTCCAAGAGAACGTGGAGAAAGCACCGGAACTTCACTTTCTCAGGCTGGAACTGCATATGTTGCTGCTGATATATGAGGGGCCGGACAAGCAGCTTAACTTTTTGGCCAGGAAAAGGAGATGGTTAGATGAACACATATTATGGCTGAGACAGTTAACATCTCTCTGTAGATTCTCTGTTGAATTTGAGAGAGAGGAATTTGGAACAGAAATAGCCAAGGCAGCAAAACTGTGCTTTCTAAACTACAATTGAGGCAAAAGAGGTTATTCTTCAAGCATTGAACTTTGAGCAGCGGCAGACAGAGAGGGCGGGCAAGAAAACTGAGAATCAAAACAAGAAAGGAGTCGCTCCCCCGGAGCCAGGTTAGCCTGGCTGTGCTCTGGGCGTCCGAGGACTCCAGAGGGGCCAGTAACTGCTCTATGATGCTCTTGGTGGAGGCTGGTTGGGGAAGCTCAAGTGTAGCTCATGTGTGCGCAGTGCTGCAGCATTCTGTGGTCCAATAGCCTGGGTTAAACAATTTAAAAGATGTCTCTATTGTTGCAATTCTCACAGCCTTTAACTGGCTAACAAGCTGTGAAAGCCGGGATTAGGCACCCCTCAGGTCTCCTGTTGAGGGAACAGAGCTTGACGGGGTGGGAGTCCAAAGAAGGACCCCAACCCCGGAGCTCCAGTGACCAGGTTCTTGTCTTAAGACTCGAGAATTCAGGGGCTCGACAAACAGCAAGCAGGAAAGCGTGTTATCAAAGCAAACACACACACTTAAGAGAAAAGTACAGCAGCTCAGAGAGAGTGCCTTGAGCTGTCTGAATTACAGGCTTTTGTTTGCTTAGGAGTTGGGGGCGCCCCCAGGCTATCCAGCCTGCCTTCCATTCTTGGCCTGTTTTCTGCACCATCTCAAGTGGAGGAGGAAGCTCAAGGCCATCTATCCTGTCTCCTGGACTTGGTTTGCTTCTCATGCTGGAGTCTCATGCTTGAAATCAAAGCAGGGAGAGGGCTGAGTAATGAAAGGAGAAAATCTGCATCCTGGAGTTGGGGGAGACGAGGATCTTCCCTAGGCTAACTCTCCTGCCTCATGTCAGTGCCAAGCTGATCAAGAAGGGAAGGTTTCGACGGAACTACTTTCCACATTTGTATGGTGAGACGCCTAGTTGAAAGGAGGCACAAGGAGCCGACGTGAGAATGAAACAGCAGGCAGCAACTTTATTGCGGCCAGAGAGCACTTTTGCTCTGGGGACCACATGGGCTTTATATATGTCAGAGAACAATAGTGGCATTCTGTCACACATGCGTAATAAACAATAAGCTGAGTCATACTTACGTAAGTTAGATGCAGGCGCCCTACTACATTAATGTAACATTCTAAATCCAGGGGCCTAGCCGTAGCCATGAGCCTGGATCACAGCCAGACCTGGCACCCACACTTCACCCCTACAGGGTCAGGGTGTGGGATCCGACCCGGAAGGTGCTACCTTGGGCCCACAATCTACAACAACAATATAAAGAACGACAAGATACTACCAGGCTATGGGCTACAAGGGCTAGGACAGCTACTGTCCACCACCAGAAGGACCCAAGGACTTCCACCAACTTGTCAAGAAGTCTTCTCCAAGGGCATAGATGGCTTGGACTTCAGCATCCATTTTCTGCAGAGCCGCCTGTGCCTGCTCGGTGTGATCAGTAATGTCGACACAGCCTTACACTTGGAGTAGGTCACAGGTGCCACCCTGGGCAGCAGTTAAGAGGTCAAGGGCCATGAGGTTTTGCAGAACTACTTTCCACATTTGCATGGTTTCATCCATTAAAAGGGTTATAGCCTGACATGTAGCATTCAATGCCTGTGTGGTGTGCTGGGCTAAAGCTTCTACCCACAATTCTACATCTATGGATCCCACCCCTGGAATGAATAATGCCAGGGGGTTATTCTGCCGGTGCCAGTGGTGATATACAGGATCCCAATTACGAGGCAATTGGGGCAAGGTGGATAATACACATCCAGCTAAATATGGGCATCCTCCAGTACAACGGCTGGTTCAATCAGTGGGCAAATAAGGCCAGCTGTACTGCCCACAGACCCAGAGATACCCTGCAGGTAGCCAGTCAGTAGGCTCTGTACTGACAATGTTGCCCATTCCACCAGACCCTAGAAATATTAGCAAGGGTGGTGTTAGCACACAGCTCGGGGGGTAGCCCCACCATACGGTCGGGCACAGATCTTACTTGCTCTATGCAGTGAGGGGCTTGCTCCACAGTTTCACATGTTCTCCTGCCAGCCATCCCCACCCTTTGGAAATGGCATGGCCTGTGAGGGGCGGGGGGTTGTGATGATCACGGTGGAGCAGCGCTTCCTTGGCCTGCTGTCGCTGGTTGCATTCGGGTGTGATGCTCCTGGTACACAGCCACGCCCA